TGTCAGCTGTGTGGCTGTTTTTAATGGTGTTTGAAAGGGCTGTTAAATATATTTGATAATATTGGTAAATATTAGTTTTCAGCCATAACGGTAATATAAATATCGGGTATCGGTGCATCCCTAAAAATAATCAATCATAAAACAGAAAGAGTAGTGTTTCCACAGCCGCCGGTGAATAGTCCAAATCACACATCTGTGAATGCAACATTCATACTTTGGTCTTATGGATGTTGCCGATTGAAGAACACTTAAGGTTAGCAATTTTCAGTATCAGTTCAGTGTTTACAGAAAACAAAGGCTGAAACACTCTTTAGAGTGAATATTTAAAGTTAGCTGTCTTCGGCATCATTTGGTATTTAGGAATAAAGTCAGAGGAAGCTCACAGATATAGAAACCGCTTTTAAAGGAATCAGTATTTTCTACGTAGGCTGTTCATTCAAGCTGCGACTTTTTGAGCTCAGTTTTTCAGCAGGTAGGCTGAACCTATTAAAGCAAACTTGCTGTGTTGTAATTCGTGTCTGGGCTTTAAGCTGTCATGGAGCTTGCTGGATTTGGAAATGTTTGAAGCTATTTCAGAATCTCAGAGTTGAGGGAGGGGTCTACATTTTCTAAGAGACGTACAGAAAATTTAGCACGGCATAGTACTTGTATTTCCAAACTGTATTATCTGTTGTGCAGGATTTGTATCCATCCATAAAATAATCAATGCAACCATTGGCCCATCGCCTATACGCTTAATTCATCCATCTGCACAGCCATATTCAGTCTTATTTTAGTTTTTAAAAACCTAAATACAGCTCTATTTTAATAAAGTAAGGTGCAGAAATTCAGTGGATGTGATTATATGAATGTTCAGCTAAAATAAACGAGTTATTTTCACCAACAGTTTTGATCTGTGCGAATAATTTTGCCCATAAATCTGTAGCTCCAGCTGCTTCGTTGGCTCTATAAAAATAAAAACACTAACTGGAATGTGTTTTGCTATGAAAAAAATCACCATCATTCACTTGTTCTTTAAACCTGAATCCATACTTCTCTCAGTCCATCTTTTTAAGTGTATACATCTGTAGCTCCCCCCTCTCACCCCTCATCAAATGACCTAGCTGGTTCTTTTCACATGTAGAGACAGCACTTATAAAGGCTGACCCCTGCACACCCCCTTTTACTCCCCATCTTTGTAGTATTGTGGCTGCATTCAGGGGCCCTGGCTCCAGAGTTGACTGCACACACATGCGGCCACACAAAGAACACTGCGCAGCCATTATGGACCTATGGGGCCAGCCACCTTTAGCCAGTCAGAGGCAGAATTAACTGGCTCATACACTTCTCGGGTTTGTCTTGGCTGCTGGGAACACCGAGGTGAATGCATTGTTTGTTTGTTTTGCTACAGAAGAAATTTTGACAGACCGAGTATATATTTAAACCTCGTCATGTTTACCCTCTGAGGAATGGCTCTCCTGTGCCGTAATCCCTGTCTGATGGGTAAGCCGAAGAACGCCACAGGCCAGTCTGAGCCACTGGAGGGAGGGGTTGCCATTGTATTCATCCCCCAAAGCATGACTGTCAGATTTATATCACCTCAGTGAATAAAGGGGTAGCTTTGTACCCTGGGGGGTTTCAGTAAAGCAGTAGGAGGACGGCTTTCATTTAACATCTGAAGGAAATGAGATGGTCATACTACTCCTATCCTAATCCAGCTACTTTGTCTCTCCTTACTTTGCCCCTTTTTTTATCACCTCCAGTTGTTTCCACATTCTCCCTTTTTGTTTTATTTCTTCCTCTCGATAGCGAGCTAGGAAGGTTCCTGGCCCTTGTGCAGAAGCATTCCTTGTGTGGAATGGCCTGTGTGGAGGGAGGGCAGCGCTGTGTTTAGCCTCTGGCAGGACAGACAAAGATGTCTGACATTGTGCGAGGCTCAGCCATCCTCAACTCTCTACGGGGCAGCACGGAATGTCTCTAATCAATTCAGCATTGTGGTTGTCGTATGTTCTCGCTCTGTCATTTTCCGTGGCAGGCTTAGCCAAAACCCAGACAATGCAACTAGTAGTTCTGTTCGCCGGGCCCCGAACTGTCTGTCATCTCGCTTCATTTTCTCCTTGCATTATCTACTCATTTTTTCCAACCAGCATGTTTATAGAATTGCGATAATTGAACGCTGTGCTCGACTCCCACTACGTGCTCCATATGTTGCGCACTCTCCGCCTTTCTCTCGGCTTTCACCCCCTCCCCCTTTTTTTTTTTTTTTTTTTTTGCCTGAGAGGGCTTAACGCTGCTTCATAGCAGCAATCTGTTCTGGTGAGTGGCAGCTACTCTTGCAGTGACAAAGACGCTGATTATAGTGGAAGTAACATTTGGTATCTGCTTTTTGTAAGTTTAGATTAACCCTGTGAATGTGCTTGTATGTTTCTACTCGTTGTACAGTGGCACAAAAAAGGGTGTTCTCATGCTTTTTGCTCTTTTTGTCACACTCAGATGTCAAACAAATTCAACATCAAAGATAACCTCGTTTTTTTTTGTTGTTTTTTTTTCTTTTAAGGGGAAAACCCCTAGCCAACCTGACCCGATGTGAAAATATAATTACCTCCCTTGTAAAATGATGGATTGAGTGTAATTAATCATAACGTCACTGCCTACACCCAGGCCTGATTACTGACTGACTGACATGCATAATGAAGAAATCCCTTAAATAGAACCTTTTTGAAAACAAAGTAGGGTTAAAAAAAAAACAACTCATAAAGCAACACATCCTGTCCAGATCCAAAGAAACATCTCCTTTCGCTCAAACTATGAAAGCTTATGAAGCTATTTCTAATACTTCAAGACTCTGGTGAGCAACAATGAGAGTAACAGTGGTGAACCTTGCTACCAAAATTACTCCAAGATCGCAAAGATGACTCATCCAGGAGGGCGCGAAAGGCCTCGCTGACCTCAGTGAATGTCAGAGTTCATACTTAGACAAGATAAAAGTCTCCAGACTAAAATGGCATCTAAAGTAGATGTACAGGGCTAGAATAACAAAGACTCAAAGCTAGTCTCAAAGTCTGGACCTTAAATCATCCACTCGTTCTCAGAGCCCTCTCATATGGCTCAACTAAAACAACTCTGCAAAGGACAGCGTGCCACATTTCCTCAAAAACAAAAAAATAAAAAAAGCCTCCTTGCCGTTTAGTCCAAACACTTAATGGAAGTTGTTGTCTTTAGTTATTAGGTTTAATGGGCTATTACATTTTCAGCTTGGACCAGATTGGTTTGGATAGTCTGAGAAGCGCAATTCTTGATAAATGAAATCATCATTGGGAAGCTGTTTTTGTTTTTCCACCCCGGGTTGTCTTTAGTCTGACTTTTTTTTTTTTTTTGGGTTCTTTAAGAACCAAAAAAAAAAAAAAGCAAAAACAGAACAAGCCTGCCTTTGCACTCTGATTTCCGTAGCAGAGAATGTCGCTCAGGTAGCATTTACAGTCTCTTTAAGTAATTAAATATGCATAAGCTCCAGATAACGACTCGTTCTGCTGTTAGTCCTAGAAGGCGAAAACCGTGTGGATAAGACGAGGCTGGCTGACTGCTGGGAGATGACGTCACTGCACAGATTTCTTCACACACAGTGTGCCTGTGTGCTTTGGGGGCGTGGGGGTGCAGCGGGGACGTGGGGGGGAGCTTCTTGTCTCACTCCATCAGTTTGGGTCTCTGTTGAATCACAAGAAGAGTCTGTGTGTGGCTGCACAATGTGGCGTGCATGCTCCTGTAATCATCCAGAGCAGTAAATGCAGCTGACTGACTGCATGCCAGCTGCTGTTTAACACGTCCAGGCTCACTTATTCGCTCCCCTCCCCGCTCAGGAACTGCAGAGAGTGGGAGAAAAAAAAAAAAACAAGAGGAAATAAAATGAAGATGTGTTGGAGGCTGTAGTGAGAAGTAAAGGAGAATACGGATAGAGCAGAGGTGGGCTCGAGGTTTCAGGGAGGTGATGATTTGCTTGGCTGCCTGTGCGCTCCATCTCCTCCCTCGGTGACAGAGCATAACAATGTAGGCTTTAAATATCTTTGCTCTGACCTCACGCTCACATACTCGGACACGGAGAGGGCGGATGTTAAGCGTCTGGCTTTGATTACCGTAACCTTTTACCCCGCTGCATATTTTCCTCCTCTGTCTGCAGGTAGTGCAGGTGTCTCGGTGTGTTTGCTCGACGCGCCGCAGTCGAATCTGTAATGAAGACGGCTCGGGCCAATGGGACTGTGTCGCATTCCTGCACCCAGTCGAGAGCAGCCTCTCCTGGTGCTCTCTTAAGCAACTGTGACGCTCTTTTAGGCTTAATATGAAGGCACAATAAATGTTTCATTTCATGAAATGAAAACAGTGTTTTGCCCTTTTCATCCTTCACCTCAGCATGGGCCTCGGATTTTATGATTTCTGTGCAAACTCTTCCCCTCCCACCCTTCTCTTTCCTTCATCATGTCTCTGCTTTTTTCTTTTTTTTTTTTTTTTTTTTTTTTTTTTTTTAAATTCCCTTTGGCTTGAAAAGGCTCTTTTATTGCCTTAGTGCTGCCACTTGCTGGCCAAACAATAGATTACAGTAACTTTCTGACTTGCGCTTAATGAAGTGCCCAGTTGGTGGCAGCAATAAGAAAATGAAGTGGAAACTATAGAAAGCATATGCTCTAAGAAAGAGCTCAAAAGATTGTTGAAAAATTATTTTTTTAATCATAAGGTGAAATAAAAAAAAAAATTAGTGATCCACCCTTTTCCTCCCTCCATCACTGTTTACCTAATTAAATCTCTAAATGCCCCGCAATCCCTTTTTAATTGACTCTGTGTCTCTGCAGGCTTCTTGGCGTCTCTGCTTTAGTCATGAACAATGCATCTGCACAGAGTCGCCGCTTGCCAAAAAGGCCAGCCTGTGACGTTGTAATCAAACAAAATGATGTCTGTTTATCTTGCTGTGGAAGCTTTCCGTGTCTCCTGCTCACTCACTCTCTCTCTCTCCCTCTCTGTGTGTGTTTCAGAGTAAACGGGACCATCTGCTGATGAATGTGAAATGGTACTACCGCCAGTCGGAGGTGCCCGACTCTGTGTACCAGCACCTGGTGCAGGATCGCAACAATGAGAACGGTGAGAGCGGGTCGCGGGCTCTTCGACACATCCACACCAGGCACAAAAATAGATACCCTTATCTCCGCGCATCGCCAGCCTCACACACACACACACACACACACACACACACACATGCTTGTCTGTGCTCCCCCCAGTCTGAGAGCTGGCTGTGAATTGCATCTCAAACAGAAACCAGATGACACTATCCCAGGCAGCCAAGCCGATGGCGTGGATCCGTGCTGTTCCCTGGGTAACACTCCCTCAGGCCAGACAGCGTTACTGTCAAGTGTTAATAACCCGCGGTGTCATGTGGCCCTTGAGCACACGCACTCTCGACACCGTCAGCGCCAGAGGACTCATCATGCTCTCACACATACACATCCACAGGAACACGGGCCGTGTCAAGGACAGTTTGCTGCTCGGTATCAAATCTGAGGACTGGAAGGAAGCATGGATATGTGGATAAACCTTAACAACACATTTACATTGCTAAGCTGTGTTTAAAGATATCACAGCTAAGTTAAACATCATTAGCTGTAACCATAAACCATTTCCATTGTATTGTCACTGCCCCAAAATGAGAACACATTGCAATAATGATACTGTAATATATTTTAAGTCTGTTGTTAAACTTTCTTTAGGATAAAATAAATTACAAAATAACTCATCTGTTCTCACCCCGTTTGCCTCACTGTGTACATTGTAAAAAGAATGTTTCAGTCTAAGATATGATCAGACTTGATCACAAATTTAAAGCTGCTGTGCAAATATGAATCAGTCAGCGAAGGAAAGTTTTTCACTTGATCACAGAGTTTCTATACAGTCAGAAAAATGTTTTTACATTTTTCTCTCTCAACTACAGTTTTCTAAAGGACCAGTATCTAATAATTCTTAATACATGAAGTGGCTTTAACATTGACTTACATGACGTTTGTGATCTTTTCTTCACATAACTCTTGACTGGTTGTTGTTGTGGTTTTTGACCTACCCGTGCTCCCAGGCCTCTCTGTGGCCTTCAGCACTCTGAGGACTGTAGTCTGATAGTTGGTCTGAGCATCTTCTGCTGTGAAACCCATTAAACAGGCTGAATATCGCAACATCATTCAAGGTGCGACCCCTTGACCTTTCGATTATATTAGCCAACACATACTGCATTCCAAGCATTCTCCAGAAGTATGAATGTTGCACATACTCACATTTATTAATGATATATTGTTCAGTTTTTATTGTGTGTTTCGCCTTGAAACCTTAAGGAAAGATTAGTGTCCCTGCAGTTCAAAGTGAATATTTTGCACTAGAATAAAAACTAATGGAAAAAAAATTCTAGACATTTTAGCCTAAGAAATAGAAATTTTGAAATGAAAACATGTATAGGAACTCTGTCATTGGCTCTGACTTGAGATCAGCAGATAAAATAGCGATATATTAATATATTTAATTGTTTGGTTAGATTTTATTCATAGAGCTGTTTTTATCCTCAATGTAAGCCAACGTGTTTTGTAGAAGTTAAAAGCCAAGGAACAGAATGTAAGGAAGCAGAAAATCTTAAATTAAAATATTATTAAGCCAGAAAAATAATGTAAAACTTGGCAAAGCAGTCATTCAAGGTAAAACAGTAAAAATGTGCATTAGCTTAAAAATGCAATAAACTAGATAATAGCATTAATAAAAACAGAATAAAAAGTGTTACTATCAAAGAACCAATAATATGACCATGTAATCAGCAATCAGAAAGAAAATGGAGCTCCACTAAGAATCCAACCTTAAAGAAAACCTGAAATCAATATCGACCATTAAAAACCCTGAAAGCTTTTGCCTCAGCTCAGCACAGCACGCCGCTGTTATCAGTCTGTCCCTGCAGCCAGGAGAGCTGGATTTTTCAGAGTTGTGGTCATAAGGCCGGAGCGGGGTGGCCCCAGCGTACCACGGCTCTCGACCAGATCTGTGTCGGCTTGCGCCAAGGTCACTTCAGCAAGCGTGAAGGTCGACTGTATCGAGGCGGCGAAATGTGGAGCTGCGTACATGAAACCTGTGCTCATGACCTCATGAATGAGACGAAAGAGATGGAAGTAGTCGGTGTTTGTTGCTTCTTTGTGGTGAAGCGACGGGTTTACAGAAGATTCATGTCATTCATGTCTCCCTTCCTGCAGATTCTGGTCGCGAGCTGGTCATCACAGACCCGGTGGTCAGGAGTCGAGAGCTCTTCATCTCCGACTACGTGGACACATATCATGCTGCTGCTCTCAGGTACAAACAGTGCGGTGCTTTGTAATCACAGCTCCCTGGATTTGTTTAAACTGTATGAGGTGTGTTTAATCTCAGCCGTCTGCCTGACGTTTTAAATAACAGATGTGAGATACTCTAAATGTATAATCTTAAATGTTGGATAATTTAGCTCCCTTGTTTTGTCTTGTGCCAGTTTTACAGAAACATTTGAGGCACTTTTTAATGGCGCCCTCTGGTGTCCATTAGGTTCACATGCTTAACCTTCTTTTTGTCGATATACTGTGATTGTTACCCATTTAGATTTTCACACACATATATATTATAATCTTGGGAGAAAAACTTCTTGCATCAAAAAAATAAAATACACTTTTTGATTAGAGCTAAACTACATTAGTTGTATTTTAAGATGAGAACAACCTGAATGTAATCCCTTGGCCTCTCCAGTTCACAGTCCTGTAATAAATACCCAGATTTCTATTTTGCAAGCAGTAAAATGATGATGCTGCTGGTTTGCAACACTGAGCAGGTAAAAATCCATGTAATTACCACTTAAAGGGTTATTAAATTCACAAGATGTGTGAAGATAGACACAATAACTCCTCCTTTTAATGTGCCTCAGCATCAAACTCGCAGAGACGCACCTGTCTGCTGCTCTGCGGTGCAGCATTGGCCGCCTCTCCTTAACGTCAGCAACAATGCGTGCAGGCGCAGTCAAAAAAAAAAAAAAAAAGCACTTTTTGTCCCCGCCTTCGTCTCTTCGCCCCTTCTTTCCTTTACCCACTCCACCGCCCCCCCTTTTCCTCTCCAACCAGAACCATGTGTGAGCAGTAAAGCCATGTCTTCCAGAAACCACTGATTTCAGGGAAAATTAGCTGCAACCTCTCCTACACAGAGCTCCCTTTGATTTGACTTATTCTCCAGGCTTTAGATAAACGGGAGGGAATTCCAGCGGGATGCTGTAATGCCGCAGCTCTCCGAAGTCGGCTCGCTTTAGCGCCCTTTAATCTTTTCGGGGAGAGGAAGATGCTGTTTCTGTGCGTGGCAGCAGAGCCCCGCATGCGTGTGATGTCTGTTATTTTGATAGAGTCAGACACCAGGGCGCTGGAAACGGGAAATGGTATCAAGATGTGGTCAGAGCCTCGCCCCCCTCCCCTCCTGCTCCTCCTGCTCATTGTGGAGGGTTGGGGTTTTGGGTGGTGGGGGTGCAGGCAGGTTGAAAATCTCTCTAGATCTCTGTGGCGTCTGTCTCCAACACCTCAGCAGCAGGCGCTGGGTTGAAGCAGACATGTTGAGCTGATGTTTACGGTTTCAGCGCGCAGTCTGATGCCTCATCACAAGTCAGCAGTCACTGAATGACAATAGAAACCTGCTGCCTGGATTTTTTTTTTTTTTTTTACCCTCAAATAATTAAAAACCCAAAAAGCTTTTAATTCCAGATTCCTCTGCTCAGGCTTGTTGTTGTCATGTCACTGTTCGTGTCTTAAGAAGTTTTGTCTTCTGTCCTGCAGGGGGAAATGCAACATTTCCCATTTCTCTGACATTTTTGCTGCCCGGGAGTTCAAAGCCCGGATCGACTCCTTTTTCTACATCCTGGGATACAACCCAGAGACCAGGTGAGCTGCTGCCGGTGCCGTCTGTTTACCCCGACTGATGAGCTAGAATGGATTCCTCATCCAGTACCTTGAAAAGCCCCTTGAACAATTTCAAATGCTGTCATGTTATAACTCCAAGCTAACTTTTCAAGCTCTTTAATGAGATTTTGCTAAACAGATGGACAAAAAGTAGCATGTTAAGGTTATGAAATTGTAACTCTGGAGGATTTTTGACAAATCTGATCAATTTGGAAAAGTGGTAAGAAGAAACCCCTTGGTGGAAGAAAATAATATTAAGTCCTGTTTGCGGTGTAGGGGACGCGACAATCGTCCTGGTTCAGAACTGAACTTCTTTGGCCAACCTGTAGAAACATGCCACTATAAACCAACACTGCACCTTTTTCTGAACACACTGTTTTCACAATGACGTATGGTGGTGGCTGCATCATGCTGTGCAGGATGCTTTTTCTTCAGAAGGGACAGAGAAGAAAAAGATGCTGAGTTTTAGTGAAGATTGATGTAGCTAAATTACACGGAGGTCCTGGAAGAAAAACCTCTTAGAGGCCACAAAAGACTTCAGACTGAGGCAGACTTTCACCCTCCGGCGACTACAATAAAAATAGATCCATAACTGGAACAGAACGCCGTGGATCAAAGCATGTTCTTGTTAGAATGAGCCACTGAAAGCTCAGACCCAAATCCCGTTGAAAATGTGTGGCTGAACTGGAAAAGTCGCTCTGTGTCTGTGCCGACTGAGTTTGGGTTATTTTTGCAAAGAGGAATGAACAAGACTTTAAGACTCCAGATGTGCACAGAGCGCTTTTAAATTTTTTTTTTTTTTTTTTTTTTTTTTTAAAAAATTTTAAATACCACTTATGCTTTTCTTTCCACTTTCGATGTATGCGCCGCTTTGTGTTGGTTTAATTCCACGCTGAAGTTTGTGGTGATAATGTGATAAAATTGAGGGAAAAAGTTTGAGTTATAAGGACTTTGGAAAGGCACCGGGTAGATTTTACTGTGTCTTAAAAAAAACCAAACAAATAAATCAAGACAACATAAGCTGAAAGTTTTCCTTCTTAAATGTTTTATGTTTCTTCTTAAAATAAATGTCAAAACAATAAAGAAATGTAACATAATTAGTTTATTTTTTACTTTGTCACAAATAATTTTCTCATACGCAATCATCCAGTGGTTCTACTTGGCCAACTGAGGTATTTTATACTATTCTTAAGCTAAAAAGGTAAAAAAAAAAAAAAAATTAAACTTGAAAGTCTTTATAAGATATTGATAAGGGAAAGTAAATCAAGAACAATGAGATTTAGTTTAACATAAAAATAAAATTTCAGAAATTAAGTTTGAAATATTTTTTTTTAACTTTGAGGCTTTTACTAAACTACGTCTTTAGTTTTCCATTTGTGTAAATAACTTCCTATATGCATGTAGTTGATGGACTTAAGCTAAAATGTGAAAGCAGAGTTGCTGATGTTTCCAGTATTTATTAAAAAAAGCAGGTTGCACACTGTTGGACAAACTGTTTCAACGTTCTGCTACTAATCCTCCAACACATTCAGGGCATTAGAAGTCATTTTTATTTTACATCCCTCCGCCTTATTCGTCTGTGGTTACATACTCCAACGATACCCTCTGCTCATTACGTTGATAATCTTATCAGTAAACAAAGACTGATCCTCATGCAGTGTAATTATGGGAAATAAACTGGGGAAACCCCCGTGGCTTCTAAATTGTTTTGGCATTGATTAGATTAGTTAAATTATGCACCAGGTTTTAATCACTAATCTTTTTCTTCTGTTTTCAAAGCGCATTGTGTCACATTACAGCAAGAACATACAAAAAAAAGGAAAGAGAAAAAAATTGCAAAACCATAAAATGCTGATGGATTGTCTTTTTTGTTGCTGGGATCTTTGTTTTTTGCATATTTGTTCCCTACCTCAGGTTTTGTGCGGTGAAAACGCAGATTTTGTGGATTTTATTGTCTTAAGTGTTTCCTCTGTTTTCTCTTCTCCTTTTAGTTAAAGTGTGGTCGTATTTTTTATAAAAATTAGTTTAACTACTTCCAACATGCTGCTTGCTGGGACTGGAAAAATGAGCTCATTTGATGTTGAATTCAACTTCAGTCTCCCAAAATCACTCTGAAAGCTCTTTAGCAATTCATCCAGGATGTCATAAAGCAACCTGGTAAATGTCTGCTTCCATCTCTGGAGAGATTTATGAAAAAAATAAAAAAAAATAAAAAGCAGTGGATAAAAGGTCCATCTCATGCCAAAAAGAAAAATAGGGGAAAATAAAACGTGGATGATTCCCAAGACTTTTTGGAAAATAATCATGAAGAAAAAAACAAGAAACCTTTGGTGTAAAATAAACATTTTTGAAAATTCTTCTATAGAGAGATGATCTAGGGCTGCTTTGGGCCCTGAATGTCTCACTGTAATTGACTGAACCCTGAATTCTGCTTTATAACAAAAATAAATAAATAAAAATCTGTAAGAGAACAATTGACCCTCAGTTTGTGACCTTAAGCTCAGGCGCAGTTGGTTTATGCAGCAGGACGATAATCCAAACCACACCAGCAAATCCATCTCTGAAAGCCTTGAAAAACAAAAAGGTTTGTAGTGGTGTAGTCAAAGCCTGGACTTAAACACAATTGAGGTACTGTCACATGCCATTCAGGGCTCAAAAACCCTGCCGTGTGACAACAATTCGAGAGTGGGCAAAAAAAAATCACCCGCAGTAATTATCTTTGTCTGACATTAAGAATTAGTTTGATCTGAAACATTTCAGTGAATCTTAAAAAGTCATTAGTAGTGGAACAGATACTTTTCCATGGCACAATATTCTTAATATATTGTGCAGTCCTTTTGCCAAACATGTGGTGTCTAGCTGCAGAGCAAATTTACTGAGTGGTTTGAATAGCAGCCCAACCTTTTCAGACATGGGTGGTAAAATCCAGGCTTTTGCTACGTGTGTTGCTCTCTTTTGAATTTGCAGCTGATGTGTATCAGATGGTGCATGAGGAAAATCTGAGACCATCGGTAAATAAATTGGAAGTTAAACTGGAACTGGACCCTTCAACATGACAATGACCCAAAACGTTCTAGTAAATCCACCGAGAGACCGGCTGAGAATTATGACACGGAAAGTCCTGAGGTGAATCAAAGCCCTAAATCTCGATCTGCTTGAGATGCTGTGGGTGGCTTGAAAAGGGCTGAATATGGAAGAAACCGCTCGTATGTCTCACAGCTAAAGTTAAGGAGTGAAGCAAACTTTTCTGAGATTGACGTGTTCCACCTGAAGTATTTGACCAGAAGAACTAACCAAGTATGCTGCATGTCCACAAAGTGGTATGGAGCAGGTCGCTGCAGGCATCATAAGATGGCACACTTTAAGGTAGTATGCCATCTTATGGTCCGGCTTATTCAGGAGAGCGTCTCCAGTTGGATTTTCTCTTGGCAGGTGTGGTTAACCCAAATGCCTGATGCATTAATTCAGTGGTGCCCAAAGTGGGTCCTCGAGGGCCGGCATCCTGCATGTTTTGGTTCCCTCCCTGGTTTAACGATCCAATGATGGCTCATTAGAAGGCCTAAGAAGAACATTAACATGCTGAAAAGGTTGTTTCTACCACCAGGGAGAGAACTAAAACGTGCCGGATGCCGGCCGTCCAGGACCGACTTTGGGCACCACAGCATTAATTGGTCTCATTTTTCTGACTCCCAGTCCATGGGTTATGTTGCGTGACACCTGTAGCGCCGTCCTAACCGTACTGTACCACGGTACTATGGACCTACAACCAGAGGAGGCCCAGGAATGGTGCGGTATGGGTCGGTTGTATGGGCCAATTTTATAACAAAAACAGACAAAATAGTCTGTGCCGTTATGTTGAATAGAAACGAAGTGTTAGTGTAATTGTCCTAAACTTTTGCCTTTTTGTTCTTTACCTCAATTTAAATCATTTTCTGTCTTTGGTTAGATAAAATACAGTGGATGTTGATATGAGCATTTTTTAAGAAAACTATTTAATAATGAGGCATCCAATATTTTTTAATCCCCTGTTTGTGCATAATCTTTGTATAGTTTGAAGGCAAGGCAAGAGTATTGGTAAAGTCCATTTCAGCAACAGGGCAGTTCAAAGTTCTTTACTTGATTTAAAAACAAAAACATTATTTTGCAGTGGCAAAGTAAAGTGAGTGGAAAGACAGATTA